CACACACACACACACACACACACACACACACACACACACACACACACACGTTGCAGGAGGTCCTTATTTGCAGATCCATCCAGTCACACCCTTCTCCGCCGTCCTTAGGGGCCGCCCCTTCCAGGGTACCACGGTGGGCCTGGCGCCTGTGGAGGGCATGTGCCGTGCAGAGAGCTCCGGAGGTGTGAGCACAGTAAGCTCTGCTGGGGACCTAGGAGGAGAGAGGTTTGGGCAGGGTTTGTGGTCCTCAGTGAAGCCCGGCTCCCCAGGACCACTCGGAACTCCCCATCGGCACAGCAGCTACCATGGCCCACGAGATAGGCCACAGCCTGGGCCTCCACCATGACCCAGAGGGCTGCTGCATGGAGGCAAACGCAGAGCAAGGAGGCTGCGTCATGGAGGCAGCCACAGGGTACGCACAGAAGGTCGGTGCCACCGGACCTGGACGGGGCGACTGCGTTTCTTTGCTTACCCCTCAGTTCCTTCTTGAGTAAAGTGAGGATGATAACAGCTTGTTAATAGGGCCTCGGTGGGAGAAATGCTGATAAGATGGAGTGTCAGAATGACTGCCGGACTAGGGTACTCCACTCCTGATCTTGGTCCTCCTTGGGACCCGGACTGCCCGATTTTAGCTTCACAGCATCCTGTCTCGAGTTTCTATCATTCCCTTACCCTCCCCCTCTCTAGACTGCTCGCTTAGCTTAGGAAGAAATGGCACGTCTTGGCGGCTGTGGGGCTAACCTCGGGGCCCAGACTGCAGTAGCAACCTGAGCTAAAGAGGTGGCTCCAGCGCCCCAGATGGTCCCCGCACCACCAACGACATCCGTCTTCCACCTGCAGACACCCTTTCCCGCGCGTCTTCAGCGCCTGCAGCCGCCGTCAGCTGCACACCTTCTTCCGCAAAGGGGGCGGTACGTGCCTCTCCAACGTCTCGGCGTCTGGGAGCCTGGTGCCGCCCAGCCGCTGCGGAAACGGCTTCGTGGAAGCAGGAGAAGAGTGCGACTGCAGTTCTGACCAGGTCAGGTCATCTCCGTCCCTGGGATTCAAGGCTGACCCCCAGCCTCTCCCAGGTCTAGCTTGCTCCGCCATCACATGTTCCGTTCTCTCCTTTTGACTTCAAAAGATCCCAGACCCCTGCTGCTTTGCCCACAACTGCTCCCTGCGTGCGGGGGCGCAATGCGCCCAAGGCGATTGCTGTGCGTGGTGCCTGGTGAGGACTCGGGATACTGGGGAGCGGCCTGTTGATCTTAGCTGGGCTGGTACCTTCTAGTCCCCTTTCTGAGTGTGAGCTTGACCCTGTGTGTGGGTTCACTTAGCGCTCCCTCGGGCTTTCAACAAAGATCTCTCTGTTTTCCTTTAATGGGTCACTGGTGCAGCTAAAGCCTGCAGGCACGCCTTGTCGTCCCGCTGCGAGTGACTGCGACCTCCCCGAGTTCTGTACCGGCACCTCCCCGCATTGTCCCGCAGACGTTTATCTACTGGATGGCTCACCCTGCGCCGAGGGGCGCGGCTATTGTCTAGACGGCTGGTGTCCCACGCTGGAGCAGCAGTGCCAGCAGCTATGGGGGTCTGGTGAGACCGCATGCTGGTCCTGGTGCCCCGACCACTACTAGAACCTACGGTTTTCTACTGTGAGCAAGCTCCACACGTGGAACCAAGGCCCGAGCTGCCCTGCTTCTATCCCCCAGAATCCCAGCCGGCCCCCGAGCCATGCTTCCAGAAGATGAACTCCGTGGGGAATTCGCAGGGCCACTGTGGCCAGGACAGCAAGGGTAGCTTCCTGCCTTGTGCACAGAGGTGAGGTGTGGACCTGAGGGTCTACGGCTGTAAATTAGGGCAGAGCATGTGGAGGGCGCACTCAAAGATGTTGACCACTGTCCACTTCCTCCCCAGGGACGCTCGGTGTGGGAAGCTGCTGTGCCAGGGAGGGGAGCCAAATCCACTAGTGCCTCACATAGTGACCATGGATTCCACAGTTCTCCTAGAGGGCCGCGAAGTGGTTTGCCGAGGAGCCTTTGTGCTCCCTGATAGTCACTTGGACCAGCTTGACTTGGGTCTGGTGGAGCCAGGAACCCGCTGTGGACCTAGAATGGTGAGCCCTGCCCACCCAACCCCTCCTGGTTATTGAGTTTTCCATGCCAAAGTGTTCTCCTCACTGCCCAGTGGGCACAATGCCCATAGGTGTGCCAGGATAGGCACTGTCAGAATGCTACCTCCCAGGAGCTGGAACGTTGCTTGACTGCCTGCCATAACCATGGGGTGAGTAGCCTAAGGGGTCAGGGTGACCTTGGAGGTCCTTGCTACCTGGTGACTTTTCTATCCTCTTCTTAGGTTTGCAATAGCAATCGTAACTGTCACTGTGCTGCTGGCTGGGCTCCACCCTTCTGTGACAAGCCTGGCTTGGGTGGTAGTGTGGATAGTGGCCCTGCACTGTCTGCAAGTATGCCAGCGGGGTGGGAGCAGGCAGGAACCACCTAGATAGTAGCCCGCTTGGGACTCAGCACCCCTGCCCTCCACAGACCCGGATGCTTTCCCCTTGGCCATGCTCCTCAGCTTCCTGCTGCCTCTGCTTCCTGGGGCTGGTCTAGCCTGGTGCTACTACCAGCTCCCAACACTCTGTCATCGACCAGGACGGTGCTGCAGGAGGAAGCCCCTATGTAATAGGTAAGCTCAGTGCCAACCTCTGAGGGCTCAGGTCCCTCTTCCTGAGCCTGCCCCTGTGGCTCCTGCTTCTCAGAACTCATCAGGACTTTGGAGAGTGGGAAGCTACAGGGAGCGAGGAGAGTGGGAGGCTACAGGGAGCGGGAACTGTAGGAAGCTAAATGGCGTCCTTACTCTCCTCTGGATATACTGAGAGCCCATAGGCGGTGGGAATGTCCATGGTGTGTATCAGGGCTTGACCAGCACTCGGTGCTTTCCTTTTCATGGCATCACCTTGCTTTTGTTTTTTTTTTTTTCCTTTTCTGTCTTAAACAAATTCAACACAACCTGTCCTCCCTGTGTCCCTGAAGACTTCTCTAGCTTCAGTGTCTCCATATTTCAGCCATCTCCCACGACCTTTGCCCTAGTTAGTCGTTACTCCCTTCAGGTCTCTCAGAGCTAAGCCCAGCACCCCTTTGTGCTTCCTGTCACCGGCCAGCTATAGTGTTGATCCCTCTGTGCCAGGACTCAGTGCCTCTGTCCCCTGTAGATCACGGCTGCAAACCTAATTCTCTGGCGGACAGAAATGCCACCTTTATAACAGACCTGGTGTACCTAGGGCTGCCTCTTCACTGGACCCCTGGCCAAATCAGGCACTGACAGCTCAGGCACTGCCCGCAGTACCAAGCTCGGGCGTAGGCCTGGGGGATTAAAGAAATACTCAGACTCGGGTCGTCCGTTGTGAGAGAATGCCAAAACTTTTACTCAGCAGGTTCAATATATATACAGCAAGCCAGGGAAGGAAAAATACAAACTCAGGAAAAAACAGAACTCAATTGGGGGACAATAGGATGTCAAGTATAAATTCCCTTCCTGGGGCACCATGTATTAGGATGTGAAAAAGCAGGAACTCAACTGGGGGGCAATAGGATGTCAAGAGTAAATTCCCTTCCTGGGGCACCATGCCTTAGTCAGGATGTTTTGATCCTAGAGGAGCCAAAGAATGATACTTAGTAGACAGCAGCATAAGGAAAGGCTCAGCCAGGGCATAGCAGCCCTTTGGGGTCCTACAAGGCACATTATGTCCGTGTCTGAATCTGGAAGTGTTCCAGGCCAGTTGAGGGAAAGGGCAGAGCTGGGGCTGTAGATGTGACCTGGGGGCACCTCAGGCCGGGAACAGCACCGCAGGCCCCAGGAGCCAACTAGGTCTTGGAAAGGCCAGGTGGTGCCTGAGGTCTGCAGGCAGAGAAACAGGTGGAGTGGCAGTTGGGAGGGGCACTGCAGAGGGGTGGCAGCTGCACATTGTCATCAGGATTCAGTCTCAAGGACAGTGGGAATATTTGGATGAACCATCAAAAAAAGGGCAAGGCCTATGAGAAAGGTACAGGCAGTTCAGAGTCTAGACTAGCAGAACACCACTAAAAGGAACACAGGAAGGCACAGCTCCCACCCCAAGGGAGACCTCTCTGCGCTTCAGCTCTAGATGGGACCTGGGTGAGGCCTACATCTAGAGTGAGTGGGGGCTGGAGCGGAGGAGGCTCTGGGTCTTAGGTGAGGTCTGGACATCTTACAGATGGAGCAGGAATGTGGGACTTGAAGCTTGGGTGGAAAAGGCAGGGTTAGGGAACCGGGACTGTGTCGTGGGGAAGCAATCACCCTTTGTCTCACACACCATCACTCTCCAACCTTCTGAACTCTGATCTGGTCCATCAATGGCCCCTGCAGGGACCAACCCCTGGGCGGTGTTCACCCTGTGGAGTTTGGCACCATTATCACCGGAGAGCCCTCCTCACCCCTGTGTAAGTGTGGCACTTGGGGCATGGAGATGGAAGTAAGGGGTGGGTCCGTGCCATCTGCCTGCTTCTAGATGCCCCCTTTCTTTACTAACACGCAACCATCTTCAATCCTCTGTCTTGCTCAGCCCCGGGGACCACTTGCCAACAGTGTCTGCACCCTTCATCTCTTGAATTGTTCTCAGACGCTGAGAACTCCGTGCTTACCTAAAAACTACTCTATGAAGCTTGTGCCATGCAGACCTGTCCAATCCCTATGGTAGGTGAAGCACCCGGAAGCCCTCCCATTGCCCAGTCACCAGCCTCTGTCTCAGCTTGTTGCTTACTCCTCAGATTTATGAGCTTGTTTCAATAAGGAAATGAGGCATGGCCCTCAGAGAAGCTGTTGTCATGGAGACCAGGATGCTGGAAGCCCTAGGGGCAGGGAAGGGAGACACTGGTTCTTCTTGGGCCCCAGTCCTCAGTGACTCAGATGCACTCTTATTCTTCCAATGGGCTGGATGCTGAGCTCTTCCTACTCACCACAGGAACCCTAAGCTACGTCATGACGTACCCACCTGCCCTGAGAGCTGTACTATTCTGAAATGTCAGAGTGTGTGTAATAACAATAAATCCATAGCTGTCTCAGTGTTGTTGGCTGTGACTTGCTGAAAGGGTCTGAGTTGTTTTCTAAAGGGACACTGAGATGGATTACAGAGAAAGAAAGAAAGAAGAAACAACATCTGGGCGGTGGAGGCAGGGGAAGGCAGATCTCTGAGTTCAAGGCCAGCCTGGTCTACAGAGTGAGTTCCAGGATAGCCAGGGCTACACAGAAAAACCCTGTTTTGAAAACTGAACAAAAACAAAACAAAACTAGTAACACCATGTACAGATGGAGAGAAAACAGCATGGTGGGGTTCCTGGGACAGTTCAGGCCCCAGCACCAGAGACAGCAGGGCAGAATCTCAAAGCCCATGTGGTAAAAGTGGAATCTGTTGGTCTTTCCTAAAGATAGGAAAGGTTTCATAGCATAAACCCATAAAGGGGGTGTGGGACAGGCAAGGAAGTACCCTTTGCTGCAAGTTTGCTCTGATGAGGGACCCTCACCCCAGGATGTCTGTCAGCTAGGGAACCAGTCAGTGTCTCCTCTGTTAACATATGTAAGAGGGAAAAGGCTGCTGCAGACACCATGGCCTGAGCAGCATCTGGATTCAAACATTTGCATTTTAGGGCCCACTCTCTCCCCTGGGTAGGGCACTTGCCATTCACTGTCTTTATGGAGCTGTGTGAGAGAGGTTGCTGCCAGTGTGTATGGCCGGATTAGCTCCAGTCCATAATCTAACACCAGGTAATCATGATTTCCCTTGACATCTGGCCATTGGCAAACACAGGTTCTTTTACTACAATTTTTAACTACCAATATTAACTAATAATGTGTATAAAATATATATCACAGTACATGTTTATTAGTACATATATGTTAGTATATATAAATGTATTATATTTTATTTTAAATATTATTTAATTTTATTACCTTATCATTTGATATTATTTTACTATGTGTTTATAATAATGATCATAATATATGTGCAATATAAAATATAAAATAATATTATTTTATTATTTAATATTAATTATATAAATCTAAGAGTGATAATACCTATATATTTAGAATATATATTCTAAACATATATATAACACATACATATTCTAAACAATTATATATATATAATTATAACAATTATATATATATATATATAATTATAACAAATATATATATATATTGTGTGTTATAGAATGGCTACAAAGTGCCAGGAGCCATCAAGGAGAAGCTAAAAACTAGCAAGTGATCTTCCTGAGATGGTTCTGCCATGGACTGTACAATTAATGGTAGATTTGCTTCTGCAGGCAAGGCCAAGGAGATTTCATTGTAGGAAAGATTCCTGCTATTAATATGCTTTTCCTAGTATTATTAAATATATATTACAATCACTAGGTATTAGCCCACCCCTTTGAGCAGATCTCTGCAGAAAAAACAACGAAGATGTACTGTCTTGTAGTGATGCTATATAGACAAATAGATGATTTCTTAATTCTTAATGAGGATCCTAGAATTCCTAAATTTTTATTAGAAATTATTAAGCTCTTTTATGATAGGACTGCTATTAAGTCTTCTCTGATATGAAAACTGCATTGAAAACTCTTCCAGTCTTCATGTGTCATGAATTAATTGCTTCTAAGATAGCAAGCAGGCATCTACAACTTAGAACACATTCCAAGAGGTTGTAAAACTATTAACCAAAGGTCTTAAAAAGGGAACTAACGATATATTATAGGTACAAGGACAGGAGATAAAATATTGACTGGGTTTATCAATACAAAGCTTTGCCACAAAAGTTATGGTTTTTAACTCTCTATGAACTTGCAGAACTGGTGACAGATGATGAATGTTTAGCCAGATAATTACTCCTAATGGAAATGCATGTATACATTCTCAGTTGTAAACTTATTTAGTTTATGTCTCAACTTCTAGTGAACTTTTGTTAAGAAAGGGGTGGAGGAATGCTTGGAAAAATCCATGTGATCTGTTCTCCTAGAAAAGATACAAAAGACTCAGAAAGACCACATTGGAAGATATAACACTGGAGAGACAGCACTGAGAGTGAGGCATTGGAAGCAGAGCACTGTGACGTCAGAGCAGGAGGAGAGAGCAAGAATAGAAGGAGAATGCAGCATGGAATAACTTAGAAAGTATAAGGCAACATAAAAAACTAAGAGAGCAATGTACAGAATGCAGAGGGAAAGAGGAAGAGAGAAGAAGCTCCAGAGAGAGCAGAAGGAGGAGGCAGGCTTCTCCTTTCCATGGGATAGAACAGGTCCTTTCTTAAGAGCAAGGCAGGCTGAGTCTTACTAAAGAGAACAAAGCTTTCTTCTTACTGAGTTGGGTTTAATTCATTCAGCAATAAAAGGGTAGAAGCTTTTTCTTACTCTGTGCAATAAAGATTGGAGCTCATTTTTTCATTCAGAGTGAGTGAGTTCTTTCTACACCGATGCTTGGTCTTTTGCTCCATATACATGTGTGTGTGTGTGTGTGTGTGTGTGTGTGCGCGCACGCGTTTAAGTGTGTAATTATGAGATAGCATGTAAGCTAGTTCAAATAGAGATTTGTGAATGTGTATCCATGAATCTGCATATGAATTTATGTGAGTTTAATCTTTATTTGCTTGTGTATAAGTTTTTCCTTCTGTGAACATGATCTTTTTCTGGTTCAGTAGAAGTTTATTGCTCCAAACTTCCTCCTAGCCTGACAATCCAGAGGCATCTGGACAAGGAGGAAAAGGCTCTAGCAATTAATTCTGTATTTAATTCCCTGATCCCCCTTTCCTAGAGAACTTTCATAGGAAACTGTTTAGAGAGAACATAGAAACAAAGGCTGAAATCACTTGTCAAAGTGTCCCTCCTTTTCTTCCTATGACTTCTAGCAGGCTGGGAGTTAGAGCTGAGCTGTTCCAGAGTGGAGAAACAACAAAAGCTACTTTACTTAATCCCCTGCTGTTTTAGGTCGAGGTGATAAATGCCAGAGACTGCACTTTATGGTCCCAAAAAGGAACTCAGGCAGGTAAGCTACAGTAGCAAAGTGACTTAAACTTAAGATAGGTAAATGTTTTATTATAAAACAGCAACCGTAAATATCTTTAAGACCAACTTTTACCCCAGCCAACGCTCTTCCCCCTCTGCTGCCTCAAGAGGAACCAAGCAGAAGGAAGAGTCAGCAGGGCTGGCCCCTGGCACAAAAGGGTTAAAGATGTTGTAGCATGAGGAAATGAAGAGATGGCTCAGCTGTTAAGAGAATATCTTCAGCTTCCAGAAGACCAGCAAACATATCAGGTATCACACCAGCACTTGTAACTCCAGCTGCAGATCTGATACATCTGGCCTCTCACAGGCACCACTCACATGTGGCACCCACAATTAGAAGTAAGATAAATCTAAAACAGCAAAGTTGAAGCATGAGCTGGAATTGGTAAAGTGCTTGTGTAGCATAGACCAAGTCCTGGGTTTGGTCCCTACCGAGTAGAAATATTCTCAGTATCACATAAAAGAACACCCAAGCAAAGCAAAAGCTCCCAGCAAGACCAAACTATAGTCTTCATCAAGAGGGTACATGCTGAAGACCAAGCGCACCAGGTGGAACGTGCACTTGCAGTTTTGTTTCCTTGTTTTGTTTGAGACAGCATTTCTTTGTGTAACAGCCTTGGCTGTCCCTGAAATTCACTGTGTAGATCAGGCTGGCCTCAAACTCACAGAGATCCATTCACCCACACTTATCTAGGCTTCAGTCTCACCCTGTGAGATGGTCTGAAAGTTGTCAGGATCACATGAGATTTCTTCATGACAGACTGGCTACCACCTTCTCTTTCTCCCAGCATGAGATTCCTGGGGAATTTCAGCACTAGACACAGCAGAGAGCTGGAACTGAGGGCTGAGGGCTCAGACTCAGACCACAGACTGGAAGCAGAGAGAGCAGCTGGGGATTGTAGGAGGCTTTGAAACCTCAACTCCTGCCCCAGCAAATACCCTTCCTCCAGCAAGGCCACACCCCTTAAACCTCCCCAAACAGGGTCACCACCTGGGGACCTGATGATCAAATGCCCACAAATATGGGAGACATGACATCCAAACCACTGTGACAGGTTATGTGACAGTATATACCTCCATACTTGGTTTATGTAGTAAGAGACATTAAATATTGATCTTTGCTAATAAACACTAATGTAAAACCCTGATATTTCCGCTGTCTTCTCTCTGCTCTGCTCCTGCTTCTCACTCTGGTTCTCTCTGCTCTGATCTCTGCTGCTCTGTCTCACAGACAGCCCTGCCATGTCCAGTCTGCTGCTCTGTCTCACAGACAGCCCTGCCATGTCCAGTCTGCTGCTCTGTCTCACAGACAGCCCTGCCATGTCCAGTCTGCTGTTCTGTCTCACAGACAGCCCTGCCATGTCCAGTCTGCTGTTCTGTCTCACAGACAGCCCTGCCATGTCCAGTCTGGTGGCCATCCTCAGTCTACTTCCCCCTCTCTCTACTCTGGACTCTTCCAGATGCCACTGTTCTTTCTCATATCCACAATAAAAACCTGGCCCTTAATCATACGAGGGAGACATCAAGTCTTCTTCTTACAGATATTTTCGTAGTTCTCTTAAAGGGAGATTAAATAAAAAGGCTGAGTACACGGGAGGATAGCAGGTTAAGTTCTAAGTGTTTTCATGGCATATCGACTTGCCTGTGAGGTTCAACAGAAGTTCAGTCTCTTTGAATGAAGGAGATATTTTCATAAAATTCTATCATACACACAACAGCTAAAGGCCTGCAGTGGTGAACAGGCCAAGTCTGGGTTACTAACAGCCTCTGACCGGGGGAGAGCCCAACTGTGGAGAACAGACCAAGTCCAGGTTACTAACTGCCTTATCTAGGCCTGTTCTTTAAGAACTGTGAGTGTGTATCTATATAGCTATCTATTTAGTATATGAGTACACTGTAGTTGTCTTCAGACACACCAGAAAAGGGCATCAGATCCTATTACAGATGGTTTTGAGCCACTATGTGTTTGCTGGGAATTGAACTCAAGACTTCTGGAAGAGCAGTCAGTG